CATGTCAACATATTCTGTTACACCAAATACACAAAATAATGATCTTTAAAAAAGCATCATTTTTTATAGTCTCAGACACAGATTTTTCCTGTTATGCCCATAAATGATTCTCAGAAACACCGATACATTTGCCTTCTGTTTTTCTTGCCGTATCAGGTCTGTTGCTCATCTTCATATGCAGTACTAAGAGAGACAAGCTTTACATCAGTGATGACACAGGAACAGGTGGAATGCTGCTGAAATCCAACACTGAGGCTCCTGGTGAAGAAGTGGTAAGAAAAACACCTATTGTTTAAATGGTTAAATTAATCAGAGAAACCACTAGAAGAGTTTGACCATATTTGACTGGAATGTCTTTCTCTTTTTAGAAAGATGGAGCTTTGATGATGATTCCTGCGGCAGAGGTAGTGGACGGGTCACTACAGAGCGGCCTCATGGAAAGTAAGAACATGACTTCAGCTTCAGGGCGCTACGGGCAGTCGTTTTTCCAGGGAGGAGGCGTGTACAACACCACCACTCAAGAGTTTGGGACAGAGAAGTACTACTCATCTGGACGCTATGATAACAACATGCACGGCAATGCCACGATACCGAAACTCTCCAATACGAGTGCTCTGGACACATGGAAAACCAACGGGCGCTACTTGGACAGAGTGAGCTGAATTTATACATTCATTCACCCAAGAAACTCATATTTCACATTCTCTCTGTTTTTCGTTCATGCTCTACTGAAGTTATTTTCACGTGACCTAAATTGCAACCTTATTTTGTGACAGAAACTGGCTTACTTTGGAGACGAGGCGGAGGGGCGGTATGCGGATGACCTGCTGAAGACTTATGGGCATGAGGGGATGGGATCTCCTGCAGGCTCTGTAGGATGTTGTAGCATCGTGGGTGAACCGGAATCACTGGACTTTTTGAACACTCTCGGACCCAAATTCAGACCACTGGCTGACGTCTGCTACACCACGAATCGAACCGGAAACTAAATCGAGACGTGACTGAGATGAGAGAGTACTGTATGCTGTTTGCCAGGGGCCTTCAAAGCACACTGCAGAAAATCATGTTCCTAATCAGTATTTTTGCCTCGTTTTCTAGTAAAAATATCAAAATATCCTTAAAACAAGATGAATTTACTTGAGAAGCAAAATTATGCAAGACCATTACTGAATGTAAAGTCTATTGATTGTTTAAATGTAAATCTCACCAAATATGATTAGATTTAAGCTCAAAAATAAAATGAATGTTTAAGAATAACCTTAACTCCATGATATATATTCTCTTAGTATCTCAGTTTTGCTTCTTAAGTAAATTTACCAAGTTTTGAGGATATTTAGTTATTTTTACTGGAAAACGAGACAAAAATGCTGATTTAGAAAACTTTTTTGCAGTACATGCCTTTCTGCTGGATTAATCAAGTGCCTGTGTTTGTCTCTTAAGTTTTTAAGTGTGTGTGAATGATGCAAATAAGCTTTTCTGTAATTGTTTTGCTCTGCTTTGCAAACCTCTTCCTCACAGAGCTGAGGAAGGACAGTTTCAATATAAGTAGGCCTATACAGAAGAGACATTATTTTCTCCCCGATCGATTGCAATTCTCAGCCGTGTGAAGTATTAACTGAGTCTATATTTACAAGACCACGATGAAGTGTGCTCGTAAACATTTTTTTGGGCAACGTATGGAATTCAGAGCGCTCTTCAGCTCCAAAAACATTGACACCCGACATCAACTCTGGACACTGAACTCATCCTTAGGCCATGATGTATTACTAGAGTTTTTGTGTTATTTTCTTACAACATTAAATGGTATAGTTGCTATAGGGATTTTTAATTTCAATGAAAAGAAACCAACTATTTTGTATGTAAGTCACTTTATGCTTTAAATGAAGATAGAGGTGAAAGGTGAAAGAACAGGTAAATTTGGGAAAAACTACTTAGAAGTAATTTTTTTTTTATCTCTTTGATATTAGTTTTGTTCTGACAGCACATTTTAAGATTTCTTTTTTTGTTTGTTTTTTGTTTTTGTATTTGTGGTAAATATTACCAACATATCAGATGTTTAGAGGGTTGTTCTGATTTTAAACTTAAAGGGATGCTCTTTGTAAATATTTTAATAAAATTGATTACAGACCCTATTTTATCGTCTAGTACTGTTTTTATGCTGCAAAGACACATTTATAATTGAAAGGCGCACATAAGTTTAAAATGTACCTTTACCCAGAGTTAAAAGCAGGGTTTAGAATGATTACCCAGGGTTAAGCGCAACGTGAAAAGCCCTGAAGTGTGAACATTCATTTACCTGGGTTAGAAAGACGATAACAATGCGGGGTTTAGCACAGTGTGAAGAGCCTGTTTAATGCTGAACCAAGGTGGCATAAATGCAGTTACACAGAGACTATAATGGCAAAAAGTTATGCGTGTGAAATTCTAAATATTAAGATAAAAATATGATGGTACACATACAAAAATATGAACATAAACAGTGTCTGACAGTAAGTATTTTTTACTTAGTTACTGTAGCACACGTTAGCACTTTATGAAATAGACTGATCATTGAACAATTGCTGCATTCAATTTGTACTTGGAAGTTAGAAATTTCGAGTTTGTATGAACTGGAACGCCCTCATAAGTTGGAGTTCCAACTCGGAATCTCGAAGGAATCACACAACAACTCCAACTTCAGAATCCAATATGGCTGCTCAATGCATCAACAGAGGAGAAACAATAGTAATACATTGTTTATTAGCATATGTTGTCTTCAGTGGTGGAGGTAACGAATTACAACTACTCACGTTACTGTAACTAAGTAGTTATTTCGGGTACTTGTACTTTTTTGAGTATATTTTTAAAGCTGTACTTTTACTTGTACTAAAGTACAAATTAAGCAAAATAATATACTTCCTTATTTTTAAATCATAATTCGTTACTGAGTACGCCCACAATTTGAATTAATATTCAAACCTTTGACGGCACTTCAGTAGCCAATAAAGATATCCGATCGTAAACAGGACCAATAGAAGCCCTGATCATAGTTGCCAAGTCCGCGTATTATACGCAACTTTGGGCTTCCTTTTTTAAAAAGTTGCTTGAAAAAATCCCAGGTCGCGGGTTGCGGTTTTTTGGGTTTATTTAAAAAAATATGGTTGCTTGTTAGGGAAATCTGACAAGAAACTTCGTTTCTTTGTTTATGTTCGCCGTATTCTCCAATGCATTGAATGACACTCTGTCTGCTCGCAGTTAATAGCCAACCAGTGCAATAATAATAAGTGCTGCTATGAAGGTAGAATGACGTCAGTAAGAGTTGCATACGCAGGGTAAGAGTTGTGGAAGTGTACATAAGACTGTAAGCGTAAATTAAATTTGCATGCGCAACAGAAGCTTTGTAAAGGTGTAAATCGCGTTTCAAGCGTAAGAAAAAATTATTTGCAGCATTTTACTGTTAGTGTAATTCATGTATTTTGAAACTGCAGCTTCATGCTAATGCAAAATAAATATGATCTGCATGCTTCTGACTTCCATTTTTCCGCGCTTACACTTTTGGCACGTTTTTTTCGCCAAAAGACGGTCAAAAGCACTGCAAGCCTGTGAACAGTGATTTGCAAGCGAAAACAACAGTTTAAAGAACTGCAAAACGGATTGACTGCATAGAACCAATCTGTATGTGTAAAAAAACAAACTGTTGCAAATGTCTAAATGACTTGTGTATGTGGGGCAAAAAGTTCCCGAAATAAACCGATATGTACAGCTCCGTCTTTCTTTTCTCTGCGCTTACAATTTTGGCACGATTCTCTGAGTTTTGCGAGTGTGAGGGGGAGGGCGGGTCCACCTTCTTCTTGTAGCCAATCAAATGAGCCTCTCGCTGACTCTCCATTTACTCTTATCTGATTGGTTCAATAAACACATCATACGCCAAAACATTAATCTTCATTTAGTTCAGGATCGTTCTTGCTGCCGGAATGGTACTTTTAACGTACACAATACATGAATTACACTTAGGAGTAACAGTAAAATGCTGCAAATAATTTTTTCTTACGCTTGAAACGCGATTTATACCTTTACAAAGCTTCTGTTGCGCATGCAAATTTAATTTAGGCTTACAGTCTTATGTACACTTTCACAACTCTTACCCTGCGTATGCAAATATTATTGACGTAATTCTACCTTAATAGCTGCAGCGTAATTTGCCAAATGTTTAAACCAATTTTTTTTTTTATTTTATCAACGAATTTAAACTCTAACCATTAGGCCACAACTTCCCCTTTCAGACAAAGTACCACTGGTTGTCTTTGTCTCAATAAAGTCAGTGGTGCACACAGTTCTAGCCATTTGCATAGCCTACATGATACTATGGCGTTATATGTGCAAAATAACGCTTTTTATGTGTTTTATGGTGAATTGCTTATGTTTGATTCCAAATGAGCCATGAACTGGTAGCAATATGATCCTCAGAGTTCGGGTGTGCAGAGGATTTCACAGATAGAATGAAATGTAAGTAATAATGTTGATTTTTAACCATGTAAGAAAATATCTTTTTTTTTTTTTTTTTTTTTT